TATATATATATATATATATTATATATATATGTATATATATATACGCTATCTCAGAATCTATGTATTGCGATAACGTCGAGCTTGTCGAGTACATTACAGCAAACTAGACTAACGTCGACATTGTCGATTGTTCCCCTTCCGCGCGACAGATTCCGAGGACTCGTCACGAATACAATATGGCTTGTCTCTTGTAGCGCTCTCGATGGCCTCATCGGGGCGAGACTTCGATCCACGTACCCGGGCCTTCTCCGACGAGGAGCTCAAACCCCAACCTATGATCAAGAAATCGCGGAAGCAGGTGAGCTTTCATTTGCGTAATTACATTGTTATTCGCGTCGTTTGGCTTTCAACGCTACATTTGCCAGGTATCGAAATAAGCGAACACGAGCGTTCTAATGTTCCTATATTCTTTCTCTCTCTTCCGTTTGCGGCCGCAGTTCGTTCCGGATGACTTGAAGGATGACAAATACTGGGCGCGTCGTAGGAAGAATAACATGGCAGCGAAACGATCGCGAGACGCGCGTCGCATGAAGGAGAACCAGATAGCTCTCAGGGCCGGCTTCCTCGAGAAAGAGGTAAGTTTTCTCACGGCTGGGAATTTGAAACCACATAGACCGCGTCTATCAATATAGTTGCCTCATAAAGTTACCGGAGATGTTTAAGGGTATGAGAATTAACGGAGAAGACTAAATATAAACTCGAGCTTTCGCTGACGTCTTGTACTTATTAAAAATCGAAAATACAACGGGAAATGAAATTATCTCTATCTGATGAACTGGTTTTCTTAATTTCTTAAGCTCTCGTCTTACTGTTTCATATCCTTCGCCCATTTCACAAGTTTAAAACTTGAAACGCAGTATTCATTGTTAATTCCCACTCTTTTGTTTTATCTAAAATGCAAAAATCCAATTGAATTCTTATTCTTCTCGTTTCGTTTGCAGAATATGGGTCTGCGGCAGGAACTGGACCGGTTAAAAAACGAGAACATGTTGCTACGCGACAAACTGAGCAAGTACACAGACGTCTAACACCCTGTCGTCGGCCATGCACCAACTCGAGCGACACGCAGAGAGAGAGAGAGAGAGAGAGAGAGAGAGAGAGAGAGAGAGAGAGAGAGAGAGAGAGAG